ATAGAATAGAATAGAATAGAATAGAATAGAATAATAACTTTATTGTCATTCCACTATACACCAAGTGCATAATAAAATGAAATCCCGTTGCAGTTGGCTCACAGTTACAATCAGACACTAAAAGTACAATCAAGATACTATAATTACTATAAAATATACATTCTATACACATTTAACATTAACTTATTAGACATTCAAGAATCTAAAAGCCAGGATAAGTTTGGGAAAACTTCCAAGGCTCTAAGGGTTCCTGCTAGTCAGTTTCCATTAGGACTATTTTGTCCTTACAGCCGTTTGCCCTGTTGGTAAAAAGACAAACTCATATCTTTTCTCTCTTCCCTCAAACTTCTAGAGAAGAAATGTTATTTGGATCAATGACTGTTAAACTGTTAGGGTGCTATGATCTTCCAAATTATTTCTCCTTAAACAGAGCTATGTTGTTTTTAGAATTTACAATGGGTTGGGATAACATGAATTTAGGAACATAATCGAAATGCATCCTTCCCCAGCTTCATGCTCTCCAGATGTGTTAAAATTCAACTTTCATCATCACCAGTCAGCATGGCTGTGTTGACGAGGGGTGATGGAAGTTGTAGTCCATTACAACCTGCCTGGAAATGCAGGCAATAATTCTCTTGTCAAGATAATTTAAGCAGGTGCCCCAGGAATTTGGACAAGCCAAAATGTAATTGATCTCTTCAACTGGCTGGTCTTGTTGCCTGAGCCATCAAGTGGATGTCTATCTACCTTCTTTTTCTTAATCTCCAGATAATGCTACTTCTTAAAAAGCACTATAGACACACAGTTGCCCTCAGGGCAGGAGCTGCTATATGTTTCTCCTCTGTCTCTTGATGGGTCATGAGCCATGGTGACAAGGGGAAGGAGATGACTGAGTGGCAGGCCTTGAGTGGCTACAGCTGATAAGGAGAAAAGAGGGAGAGGTTTCTATCGGTTCACTGAATGAGGCCATCAACAGTCCCTTAGTCCGGATCAGTGGGCTGCTGAGATTTGGGCTCTTCCACTGGCCATCTTTCCGGCAGTGAGGCCCCAGGAATGCAGGGCAAAAGGGACCCCTAGCCCATCCTGTTTCAGAAGAATGTAAAGAGGGAGTCACTCACTGTTCTTCCAGCTTCATTATTGTGCCTGTTCATGGCTGAGCGAGCATCCGGACGGTTTTCTCGGGCATCTGCAAACTCTCGTGAGACAAGTACCCCAAAGTCAGCATCTTCACTGCAGCCTCCCCATTTCCATCCTTCACCAGGTGGTCCCTTATGGTGTGAGTCACAGCCACAAATGGTGGAAGTACCTTCAGCACATGAGCGTGTGACGGCAAATGCCACACCAGCAGAGGCAATGGCATGCACAAAAGCTGATTCTCGTGTGGCTGCAAAAGAGAGGGTGGGAAGACCCAATTTACTTACTTACTTACAGTCAATGATCAAAACCATTACATGGTAAAATAAATTTATGGAAATATGAACAATTAAAAGCTAAAGTAATTAATGGAATTTATAACTATATAGCAATAGAAATCCCAGGTTAAGTCCAGCATTACACTGAAGTGATCCTTACAGTAATTGCTACTGAACAGAATTTAGCAACTTCCCTAGTTATTTCAGAAATGAAAGCAAGCATTTTTCTTGGCCAGTCGAAACCCTTAAGTGGCAGGGACATTATTAGAACAGAGCACCAAGATTGGTATGTGGGACAATGCAGTAAAAAGGAGAAACTGACTTAACTGATCTCTCCAAACTGACATAGGTAGGGACGTTTCATACCTGACCTTCGCAACTGCGGGTAGCATAGTGTTAAGTTGATCCGATGAAACCGTTCTGTGCAAAACGGACTCTTAGAGAAGTAGTTGGCTGGAATAAACAGTCTTCTGCAGGTAACTGGATCATTCATTTATTTCCCAGCATTAAATAAGGGGATGTGTGTGTGTATGTTTTAGTTTGCTTTCTATTTTTTGGCCAGTTTTGTACTTTCATTAATTTTTAATTGAGGCAGTAGCTGGGTTGTCTTGACACATTGCACTAAGCCAGAGCCTGAGACATAAATCAGGAAAAGCACCCCTTTTAAAGGTCATGAGGCCTTCTTTTTTGAAGGAGGAGGAGGAGATTCTTATCATCATCATCATCATCATCTTCATCATCATCTCCTCCTCTTCCTCCTCCTCCTCCTCCAAGTGCTGCAAGGAACATTATGATGTCACATCACCAGGCTGGCCATTCTGACTTGGGTTTGAAGAGTCTTCTGGCCCTTTGAGGTGGTTTTAAAAATAAAATAATTGTGAAAAAGTGTCATCTATAATTTAAATAATTATCCTCAGCAAGTGTGTGACCAGCACAATAACTAATGCAACAATGCCAAGGGTGGGCTCCAGTGAGGATAGATGGCTTTTACACTCTGAATAGGAAAGTAATGGAAGGGTGAAGGTGACTCTGGTTTTCATTAGGCAGAGCTCTGGGATTAGCAGTTTGGGAAATGATGAATCACAGTAACTGGATCTGGGATGCTGTCTTAAAAGTGGGAATCCAGGGGTTTTTAAAAAGCTGTCAATTTAGGAAGAACCATCCTGGGGGCTGGGGGGAAGGCTCAGCCCCCATCTTACTTCCCCCTGCAAATTATACCCTGGAATTCTCTTGCCGATGGGAAGAGGGGGCTGGGGGTGGCTGGGAGAGGTTTCCCAGTGATACAACTGAAGTTCCCAGAAGCATCGAGGGGGCAAGGGGGGAGCAGAGCTTGGGTGGATTAGGGACTCTTGACAGAGCTTCACTGTCATGGCCTCCTATCCAGACCCTGTTACCTGCTGGGACACTCAATTTGCCATTGTTTGTGGAGTGTCACACTGTATTACCCACATAATGTGGAATGTTTCCGCCAGGCGCAGTGGTGCCCACGCTGGCATTCCCTGCGGCCACCCCTTGGCAACGGGGCCTGCGCTCACCCTGCCCTGCCATCCCCCTGCAAGCCCACCAGTCCGGCTCGGAAATCTCTATTGAGACCCCTGATGCTGCCTCTCCCCTCCTGAGCTCCAAGTGGCCAAAGGGCGTGTGAATGGTGCGGGGTTGTGAAGCAGTTCGAGGCCGGGAACGATCTCCCTTGCCCTGGTGCACAGTGGGGATTGCAGCTTAGCTCTTTTCTCTTGCCCATAAGCTCATTTTCTCTCCCTCCCCACCGACTGTGCTGCCTTGAAATCTCTGCCATTTAGATCCCGGCTCCTCTTTAAATGCAAATTTGTCATCTGTGTCACAGCTGAAAAACACTGCTGGGTTATCACAATGCTGTAGGCCATTTGCAGCCTGCAAAACCAAAGCAGTCTCTCTTCTTTTCTCAAAGCGCAGAGGCCCTCGAGATGCAGGTTTTGTTGTACATATTTGTTCCACAGAAATGTGGGCAGGCTCCCTTCCCCAATTTGCTATGGAGTCCTAAAATAATTATCTGCAGAAATAGGTTCCACATTTTAACCTCATTCCAAACCATGCAACCCAAGTGTTAATTTTTTTCCACCCCCGCACCCCAACCCTTTCACCTGTCTCCTTGTTTCTTTCTTAGGCTGAGCTGTTCCTGAGGAGAGAAACTTGCATAGGGCTCATGTATTTGCTGGTATCGTCTCACAGGAAAAAATTCACATGTGCAAGAGAAGGATTTGTGCTATCTGTTTATGTCAACAGAACTTTATTGCAACAGAGAAACATATGCATGTGGATCTGTGCCTCCACACTAAAGTGGTTCTGCCTAGATGTCAGTTTACCCTTGCAGAGAAAACCAAGTCTGTCTTCCTCCTACTCCTCTTCCTACACAGGTAGCGCTTAGATGTGAGTCACCTTTAGATGTACTAATGAGGCCACGTTGCTCAGCCTGCTTTCTGGATTCCAAGCACAGTTCAATTCCTGCTGCATCGCTAGGTATGCAGATCAGATGGATGCTTGTGTTAATGGAAAGGAGGCAACTAAATTGGAGCTGCTCATTCATTCAGCAAAAACAAAATGAGTAGAGTAACATATATTAAATACAGTTGATTTACTACCTCAGATCCTGTCCCATATAATAACATCAACACAATGATATTATGCATAACAGGTCTTGGATGTGATTATTCAGTGAAATATCTGTTTGTTAATATTTGAATTAATAGTCTACTATTGTGAGTCCTGAGAGCCAGTTTGGTGTAGTGTTTAAGGCACCGGGCTAGGAACTGGGAGACTGTGAATTCTAATCCAGCCTTAGGCACAAAACCAGCTGGGTGACCCTGGTCCAGTCACTCTCAGCCCTAGAAAGGAGGCAATGGCAAACCACTTCTGAAATCTTGCCAAGAAAACTGCAAGGACCTGTCCAGGCAGGAGTTAAAAAACTGACATGAAGATATATATATATATATATATAGGATTATTTCTTTTTTAGTATAAAAGATATGTGTACTTTTTTCTGTCTCTGTACATATACTAAAGTTTAAAATGAGATGAACAGACTAGACAAAAACATGATGGCATTTCTGCAGAACTTCTGTTTCACTTGATTGGGACTTACTGCATGAAATAATAATAACTATGAAAATATTATTTGCTGTTATTAATCAGAAAATAACACAGTACAAAGAACAAATAAAAAGAATCACATATTTGACTGGTGCCCTTTGGAAATTTGAGTTCCAGCCAGGAACCTAGGAATTATCCAAGTAATGCTGTAAAATGTAACATGTGCCTAGCAAAGTGGTGGGGTTTTTTTGGTTTTCTGTTTTTGCAAATCCGCAGTTGATATAGCCCAAATATTTAGTTCTTGTAAACATTTGCTGAATTAGGTGAATTTTTATTCTATTTAATGCACATAGGAGTGGCTTTGCAAACTTTTTTCAATAACCTACTTATTTCTATCATTAGAGTTCTATATTTTATATTTTTTCCAATTCTTCTTCCTCAGTTCTTCTACCCCTGGGTATTGTCACAAGAAAATTGTTTTCTTTTCAATTATTGTTATATATAGTGTGTTATGTTCTAGATGGTGATTGGTTTCTATGTGAAAATCCCATAATTTTTTAAACCTCGTTTTCAGTAACTTTCTCAACTTTATGATCAACACATATTCAGTAAACTCAGAAATGTCAGCAATAATAATAATAATCAAAATAAAATCACCACCAGTCAATTGCAAAAGGCAGCTTTACTTGGAACAGCTTATATCTTGCGAAGTTACCTACACCATCAAACAACAACATCTGCCTATCCCAGGTCCTTGGGAAGGCTCAATAGATGGATAAAAATGCCAAATCCAGTCTAAACATCTGGCTGACTGGGCAACCAGCCATCATAATAATGCCTCATTCTTTTGGCCTTGCAGTTCTATCCATTTTCTGTGGGCTGCTGGTGTATAACTAAAGTGAAATGACATTCTTAGAAAATGGTCAGTTCTTACAAGCCAGACAATCTTATTTTAAAGCATCTCACCCATTTCCCATTTGGCAAATGTTTATCTGTATTCACCCTCAGACAGAAAACCTGGGAACTATGAATTGTATCTACTTGAGATATCTTGGATCTGGTTTACTCAATAATTGAATGATAGGCTTCTCTCCTTATGAAAATACATTTGGGAAAATCTTATAGTCCTCCTATAACTGCTTCTCTGACATATATTTTCCTTTAATTTGTTCAGTGCTATAATTTGTTACAGTATTAGAATTGAATTCATGTCCAATCATTAGAATTCAATTTGTGCAAAACTTTAATATGACCTAAATATGAACATATAAAGCTGTTTTTAAAGAGTCTGAGTTCACAAATTACACTATGCTATAACAATTTTGTAAGGTTTGGGTTTAGTATATAAGTACACCAAGCAATTTGTGGTTTGCAAACCAGTATTTATGGTTTAGCATGCAGTATGAATTAAATCACAATGGCTTATTCAACCAATCATGGTCAATTGTGGCCCAGCACAATGTGTGAGTATAGCCACTTTGGAGTTTTTCTTTTGGCTCATCTAACCATTTTTTGCTCTAATGGAATTGCTTCTTCAAATGTCAGAGCCTTTCCCAGTCCTGCCACCACAACATTCCTAATACTTGGAGATGTCACAGAAACGGAATCTTCCAGCATGTTAAACATGTTGCCCAAACTCCCCTCCCCCACCCAACATGCCATGTGTTATACCTTTATCTAGAACAGGCCCAAAAATAGCCAAGCTGTCATCAATGGTTGTGCAATTCCAACGTCTCCCCCGGAACTGGTGTTGGCACTCCTGAATTCCCAACTTCACACCTTCGGCCACGCTTGGCATGATCTCAATGTAGTTTCGGCAGAAGCGAAGCTGCTTAGGCACTAAGCCAGGAATGGAACCACAGAGAATAGGCTGGGACCCCAGTGATGTATACTGCTGGCCTAATGCAAGGGACCTGCATGGAGAGAATAAATACAGTCTGCAGCTGAACGTGCACTGGGCCTCTCACATGTCGATTTCCACCAAGTTATGTTCATCCAAAGTGCAGCTTGTATAATAGAGGTTAATTCATAGGTTCTGTTCTTGAAAGACATGATGGTTACCACATCTTCTAGATGATCTTTAAATGAGAGATTAGACAAACTCAGAAATTATTGGTTTATTTATGGCATAGCTATGTTGGTCAAATGCTCCCTTCCTCAACTATTTCTACTCAGGATTTGTTGGACTTACTTTCATGTAATACCCAGTCTAGCGTAGAATCCGTAATTCACATACTGACCCAGGACAGGATAACTTGTTACTTAAAATATTCCAGATAGCTGTCTTTTTTTTTTTTTCAAGCAAGCAATATTTTTCTGCAACAAGGAAGCAGGCTGTATGTGGTCTTCAAAATATTGTTGAACTATAGCTCCTATCATTCCTCACCATTGTTTGTATTAAATAACACTGAAATTGGAATTCAGCCACTTCTGGATGACAACTCATTGATTGTCTGTGCAAACATAAACAGAGTCCATTGGAGTTGGGTGGCTAATATAATAATAATAATAATAATAATAATAATAATAATAATAATAATATATTTTCCTGTTGAAAACTCGTTTTCTCCTTTCTGAGAATTCTTTAAAATGAATTAAATTATGTAAGGCAGGAAAGGAGCAATAGGGATTGATGCAGACTATAGGAATCTGATTGGAAACAAGCAATAAGAAATTAAATAAAACCAAAGACAAAGTAAATTTGGAGAAGAAAACTGAAGATGCAAAGATAGATGCTTCAGAAGAGTCAGAAAAATATTCAGAATATTTATAGTCATATTCATAATTACAAAAAAAATTGAAGTGGTCATGTTTCCTGCATACGCTGTGTATGATTTGTTTTCTCCTCTTGACTGTTCAATGTCTTTCTCATTTGAACACAGTCCAGGCAGGAAACAAGGGAATTTAAACAAGAAATAATGTCCATAGGGTTACCTCTTGCTGAATCCCAAGCAGTGCTTCTGTTAACACGTTTGCAAAAGATTCTGGGGGAAAGTCGCCATTTAATTTTACACCACTGACTTAGGGTAGCATTATCCAATCCACTGTCCTCCACAATGGATAGAAGTGTTCGGAACTGATCTTAAAATACTTTGAGGTAATGTGGAAATATCCCATTTTGGCTGGGATAAGATTTACATTTGGTCCCAGTGGTCTGTCTGCTGAACCTCACAGTCACACAAGCATTAATTCCAGGTAAGTGATTCAGGTCAAAAAATAATTAAACAATTATATTGCCCTAATCGTTTATGATCAGAATTGTATTACAATATGGCATAAAGATCAAAGGGCTACCTCTCTTTTAGACAGCTTAAATTCTGTCATTAAAACCTTAAAACCTGGTGGCATCGTTACTTGAAGAATTATGAGATGGTACTTTTGAATGGGATAACTATTATTTCTTCCTTGATTTATGGATTGGTCTATTAATGAATATAATGTTATTTGTTAGATCTATGTTCTGTCTATTCTGCAGGAGCAAAATGTGACTTACATGAGAATCTCCCTTCATTTTATTCCTACAGCAAGGATTCTACAAGGTGGGTTGGGCTGAGAATAAGTGAGTTCCCATGGCTAAAGAGAGACTTGAACCTGCATCTCCCCAGCCCTAATCCAACACCTTAATCACAATGCCTTATTGGTTCTCAATGGGTAACATCACCACCACCAAATTATCTTTTTAGCTATACTGAGAGCACTGCTATGAAACCAACATATTAATCTGTTGATCTTTGGGGCTTATTTATTTGCTTACATATTTATGATTTTTCTGTGAGCTTCCCATGGGCATTTCACTTGGTTTTTATTGGACAAAAACTGCTGATGGACTTAAGGGACCGTGATGCTTCAACAGTCAACCTGATGGTTTCCAAAACGTAAGAAACACAGAGTTTCTTTCTTCGTGGCCACTAATTTTCTCCAAGCAGATATAGGCATAGAATATTAGAATCACACATTCATTTCACGGGAGATTATGGCAAAGTTCAGGAAGGTGGTGGTGCTTTAGAAAATCTGTGAAGCCAGATGATTGCCCCTCCCCCCCCCCAATCCTCTACAATGCACAGGGAGCCTTGTAGTACAATTTCAGGATTTTCTAAACAAATAAGTTAATATGGCACAGGTTCTTTCAAAAAAGCAGGTAATCTAGCAAATAAACTCCTTACTCCTCATTCCCAACTGAAAAAAAAGGCATCTTGTGTAACTGCTTCTATTCATGGCCAGCCCTTATTTTTTCATATCCTTCCCCTCCTTTTCTGTTGCCAGAATACAGGCTACAAATTCTCCTCCCTCTTCGAGGAAGTACCCCCCCACACACACACATACTGTACACTTTTCCTAGTCTGTAAAGGCACCATTGTATGTTGATGGCATTAATACTTAAATCTAGCAAAGTACTGCTTTCCTGACTACATGGGTGGTGGGTCATAGGAATAAAACCTGCTGTACTTGGTTGTTCTGTAGAGCATAAAGCATGCTGTATTTAAATATTTGAAAACGTCATTTTGTTAGCTGTTGAAAAAGAATGGATGTTTATAACTTTTTGAATGCTGCTGGGCTGGTCAGTTTTCTTGCCAAGGGAGCTATCCAAGAAAAAGTGCTGAATCTGAGTTTCTGGGGTTTAGTACCTACAGAAGAATTTTATTACCTCAACGTGGTGTATAGTCTGAGCTAGCAAAGCCGTTGTGACTTATATTAAATCTCAATTCATCAACTGTATTATCTGATTCAGACTTTCCCAGCCAGGTGTTCTTGAGATGTGTTGGATTGCAACTTGTGTCACCCCTAGCCAACATGGATTTTCAGAGCTGTCACTCAAATGCCAAATTAAGGATTAGATAATAACTGCATAACAAAAAATTGGTAGGGGCAATGAGAAGGCTCTCATTATCACAGTTCAAACAGAATCTAAGAACAAAAGGAAAAATAGGAGGAAGAAATAGTGAAAAAAAATACAATTAACAATCTTACCACTTAACTTTGGAGCAAAATGTTTGGTATTGTCTGCAGGTGGGAGACTAAAGGTATGATCAGCATGATTTCTATTAAGAAACATTAATCATTCCCCAATAAAGAATGGGTAAAAATCCAGCTATCCGTAGCCATTTATATTTCCAAATGTTATCAAATGAGTTGGATGCAGATGAGTTGACAAACCCTTGCAGTAAACTTTGAAATCAAGGAGGGGCAATCCTTTGAGGCCACTTGGGCATATTTGAAGGGTTGACAGCATGTTGACCAATGCTGCTGGTAGTAGGGAGGGGTCACCTAGTCACTAACGGGCTGCCCTGGTAAGCATGCCAAGTCATAAAATACCCATTTAGCAGAAGAGTAATGGGGATATTGGTCTTTAGCCTATATCCCAGTTCTAGAGACATTCTTAGAAAACAAAGACAGTGCTAGAAAATGGTGCTTTACTTTGCAACCAATCTGCAAGTGTCACATTTCTATTTTTTTTTTTTTGTCTATTTAAAAAATCCCTCCAAACTTCAAATCAATTATGTAGGAAACCGAAAGCCCCAAGGGTGTTATGTGGTGCCTATTAGAAACATAATGATTATTCCTGTTTTGCACATCTATCCAAAAAGGTCCTTTATTGGGCAAGAGTTTTTGGCCACCCAGAGCATCCTCAGCACCAATTTGGGATAGGCAGGTGTCAGCCCTTTGAGGTAGTCCAGGCAGCAAAGCAAAACCATGAGTACTAACACTACCTTTATGGTAAAGTTACAGTAACAGACTCTTGCCAAGTCTCGAAACGCACTTCCCCCCTCCCCTCCCCTCCCCTCCCCTCCCCTCCCTTCCCCTCCCTTCCCTTCCCTTCCCTTCCCTTCCCTTCCCTTCCCTTCCCTTTCTTTCCAGAGAACTAGGGAGGCTCCTTTCTAGACCCTTTTTCCATGCCCATTCATTCTGTGGGCTAAGCTATCTCTTATCTGGCCATTGCCTAGGCTGTGGCGCCTCCTCTTCCTACCTCCCAAGGTTACTCTCACAGCCATTACAGCAGGACATTCCTATTTGCTACATAAATGTTAACTGCAGCTCTGTTTCATTTCATTTTCATGTTTGACATGCCAGTGCTATCAGTTGAGAACCAATACAACATCATGATAGTTTATTGTCCTTTGACCAGAATCAATAATGTACAGTTTATGGCTTAGCTTCACAGCTTCTTGCCCGAATCACTAGCTCTCAGCATGTTCCACAGGATTACTAGGAGGGGAAAAAATGGAAGCACTGCATCCTGCAGCTTCTTGGAGGCAAGCTGGGTTGCAATCATGATAAATTATCCACTCCCATTCACTTGTATTGCTAGTTCTGCTTTCATCTTGCACGCGGCCCTCCCGCAGCAATGAACTGCTTTTGCCCCTTGCTTCTTTTGAATGCAAAGACCCAGAGACAGCAACAGGCAAAGCACTCAGACATCCATCCTCCAAAATCCACAAGGTTCCCAACAAAGAAACAGAAAGAATAAGAACTCAGACAAATATACACCCAATAAAGAATCCCAGGAACTCACACCACCAAACATACAATGCAGGACAGCCATGTTAGTCTATGGTAGCCAAACATCAGAAGGAATCTGGTAGCACCTTTTCAGACTAACATGTTTTATTAAACAGCATAAGCTTTTGTGGGCTATAGCACAGCTTACTTTAGCAGGTTCATGGAGTAATTAGTTCATGAAAGCTTATAGCTTTTAATAAAATGTGTTAGTCTGAAAGATTCTAACAGATTCCTGATTTTCAACAAACATGCAGGCATTTGCCTCCAACACACACACAAAGATTGTTCCCCACAAGTCCTAGCAAACACTTGGGCAAAAACACACACCACACAATAAATAGGAAACAGGTGGCTCTAAACATGTAGCCCAAAGTTGATAGAATATTTGGGATAGTATGGATAGCAGCATTAAGGA